GTTCAGAAGGTAGTAACACACAGAACGCAGAGGTAAGAAGGTAGTAACTCACAGAACGCAGAGTTCAGAAGGTAGTAACGCACAGAACGCTGAGGTCAGAAGGTAGTAACGCACAGAACGCTGAGGTCAGAAGGTAGTAATGCACAGAACGCAGAGGTCAGAAGGTTGTAGCACACAGAACAAAGAGATCAGAAAGAAGTCAATGGAAATCAGGCCGTGATTTATGTGAATCAGTAATGTTATTACAAAAAGCCCAAAATCTCTTTCCTACTGTTTCTGCCTGCACTGTTCACAATAGTTTGGCAATTCGCTAACAGATTGCATCTGATGCTGTCTGGGAAGTAAATGTTCAACCAATTTAGCCTTATTCACATGTGACGTCCTTAATATCAAAGTGACAAGATGCAAAAGAAGCATAATTTGTAGGATTTTGCTCTCCTTTTCTCCTTCTTTGGAAAAATTTGTAAAAAGCTGGAGAATCGTGGATGCTGCTCTAGAGCTGTCGAATGTCCTCTGCCGGGCCCCCCTGGTATTCACACACGTGCTCTATCTGCCAAAGCCGTGAGCATCAGTGAGAGGTAGCTGTGTGCTAAGCTCCTCTCACTGACAGGCAGCTCTGCCTGCACGCTGCATTCCTCAGTGAGCCGTCGTGCCGGGACTTAACACGAAGGACGAGTGGAAGACGGCATTGCAGGACAGTCAGTAACCCAAAGAGGGTGACAGCTGTCACGGGCCCTGTCACGGCCACGGGCCCTCGGGCTGCGCCTGGGTGCCCGAATGGTCAGTCCGCCCCTGCTATGAAGTACCACCAGGGGTTGGGAAGGGCAAGGCCACCGGAGAGTTTAGGCCTGTGCAACACTTCCAGTCGCAGTCTGGCCTGTTTGTCTCCAAATAAGTTTGCGAAAAGTAGTATTTATTTGGTCAAAAAGACTTCTGAACAGCCACATTGGGGAATTATGTAAAATAGATAGTAGTTGTGGCATCCAAACCATTTTTATTAGGTTCACCCGTCCCGCAATCCACAAAGGGAGTTTAAGCCAAGCCTTACGCTGCGTTCTAAATTTTTGGAGGAGCGGTGTTAAATTAAAAGGGAGATAATCCATTAATGAAGTAATGCGAATCCCTAGGTACAAAATGGAGAAGGAGGTGGGAATAAAGGAAAGCTCTGGTGGCAGTGGAGCAGGCATTGGATCAAGGGGGAGTAGAGTGGACTTATCCCAGTTTACGGCCAGACCCAAATATTGTGCGAACTCCGATAGATGTCACATGGCATTATGCAAGGAAGGACCCGTATCTGCTAAAAATAGAAGGGTGTCATCGGCATACCGAGCTATTTTCTCTTCTTGAGTACCCCGCTTAAATCCAACTACATCCGCAGCCTGCCGGATAAGGGCAGCTAGGGGTTCTATAGCCAAGGCAAACAATAATGGTGACAATGGACAGCCCTGTCTGGTGCCACGATATAAAGGGAACGAGGAAGAGAAGCTGTCATTGATTTTGATCTTTGCCACTGGTTGGCAATAGAGAAGGCGAATCCACTTGCAGAAACGAGGTCCAAAGGCAGATAGGACGGCCCAAAGGCAGCGCCATTCCACACTGTCAAAGGCCTTGGCCACATCTAATGCCAATAGGGCTCTGTTACCAGAGTTATCAATCGGAGTTTGCATATTCAAAAACACCCTGCGAACATTCACAGCAGTAGACTTTTGAGGCATAAAGCCGGACTGGTATGGATGTATTATGGAAGAAATTTGAGAGGAGAGTCTATTGGCAAGTACTTTAGCTAAAATCTTTATGTCTGTATTAAGGAGAGAGATCGGTCGGTACGATTCTGGTAGGAGAGGATCTTTATGTTTTTTAGGGAGTACTATAACGGTAGCTTCATACATAGTGGGCGGGAGTGTACACTTGGAGAAAGCGTCATTAAATGTCAGAAGCAGGGTAGGGAGAAGGGAATGCAGATACTGCTTGTAAACCTCCACTGGGAGGCCATCCAGGCCAGGTGCTTTCCCATTAGGGAAGGCACAGAGTGCCTTCTCCAGCTCCTCCGCGGTAATAGGTGTCTCCAAGTCAGTGCTATAAGTCTCAGATAAGATTAGCATATTAATAACCTGGAGAAAGGACAGTAAGTTGGCCTCCGTATAATGCACCTGGGAGGAATACAGGGATTTATAGAAATTGCTAAATGTGTCTGCGATTGTGTCGGGGTCCCGTGAAACAGCACCATTAGGATCAGTAATAGCACCAATGTATGCAGTGTCTTGTTGGGCACAGGCAATCTGAGCTAGCAATTTACCTGTGGCATCGCCCTCCGCCCAGTACACCCGTTTAGAATAATTTGTGTTGGGATTTCTGCTTAAGTAAGTTCTCCAACTGTATCCCTGCCTACTTCCAGGCCCGGAGAGTACCCTCAGAGGTGTCTCCCACATACCCTGCCTCACACGTCGCCACCGATTGACGGGCCTCCATCTCTGCCTGTCTAGAGGAGGATTTAATAAAACTAACGTTCTTTATAAACAGGCCTCTCAGGTATGCCTTCAAGGTATCCCACACCACCCCAGGAGAGGCTGAAGGGACATTGACTGACAGAAGGAGGGAAATGTCATTCTCCAGCAGTGCTCGGTCTGTCATCAGAGACAGAAAGAAGGGGTGCAGCCTCCAATTAACTGAAAAGGAGTGTCGGCCCATGGACAGGCCCAGGAGTAGCATAGAATGATCAGATAAACATCTGGGCTGAATATCACCTGATCTGACAAACGGGAGCATTTCGGATGTACCCAGAGCGTAGTCAATCCGAGATAACGTATTGTGCGTGCTAGAGTAGCAAGTATACTGAAACTCTAGAGGGTGGAGCATTCACCAAAGATCGAGAAGGCCTAGTTCAGTGCACAGCTTCTTAAAAGGAGTGGTGAGCGAAGAGTCAGCAGAGCCAGCTCTAGGAAACCTGTCCTCATAAGAGTCCATACAGTTGTTGAAGTCACCAACGGCAATAAACAGGGATAGAGAGCTTATCACTTAGGAATTTAGCGAAATCCTTAAGAGCACTGCTGGAGAACGGTGGGAGGGATATAGAAGTTAGCAATGATGCATTCAATATCCAATAGACGGCAGTGGAGAAAAATATAACGTCCTGCACTGTCCCTCTGTGCCTGTATGCAGGAGAACGGAACATCCCTATGTATAAGTATGGAAACACCACGCGAATATGAGGAATAAGAAGAGTGATAAGTGGCCTGGTAGGCTCGCCTATCTAATATAAGGCATGTTTCTGGGATAGTATGTGTCTCCTGCAGACAGACAACCGAGGACTTACTCTGAGCAATGTAAATCAAGTATGGAGCGACATCTAGTGACTGCCCCCAGGCCTCGGGCATTCCAGGAGGCTAATTTAAACACTCGCTGTGGCATGTATAAGGCACAAGAGAGATACTCAACAGTAATTGTCAAAGTCCAGTGTCCCAGTCCCAACACTATGGAGAGGTGTTCGAGAAGATCCAGGCACAGTCCTGTGGTAGAAAAAAAAAACAAGAAAAAAACTGAAAAGAAAAAAACAAAACAAAAACACCATCAGATGAACCAAACAGTCCTCACAGGGAAATCTTTGGGGTACATGACTCCAGGCAGCTTCCAATGTAGCAACAACCACAGGGCCACAACTTGAAGAGTGGAAGAGGCAAAACCACGCCATGAGTCTTGCTAATGACAGTGGTTATAGAGAGCACCCAAACACAAAAAAAAAAGGATTGAAGAAAGGGCCCCAAAAATAGGAAAGCCTCGGAAAGCTCCTAAGCAGGAGCAACCAGGAGTGTGCCATACACAAACCTCTAAGGCCACCACAGAATTGCGAATTGCAGCACAAACCTTGAACGTCTTCAGGATGCATCAGAACGGTGTTTGTGGTACTGATCCAACCAGGTGGAGGCCTGAGGAGGTGTATCAAAGAAATGGGTCTCGCCATCCGGCACAATGTGGAGCCTTGCAGGGTAGAGCATTGAATAGGAGAGGTGCAGCTTCTGTAGCCTCTTCTTAACATCTTGGAGCTTGGCCCGACACATCTGGGCCTCTTGTGAGAATTCAGGGAACAACACAACCTTCGATCCTGCCAATGACAATTTGCTCATTTCCCTGGCTTTGTGTAGAATGCGCGCCTTATCACGATAGTTTGGGAGCCGGATCAGAAGAGGCCTGGGAGGATCAGTTGCAGGATCTGTGTCGGGAGCTCTCCTTCACGCGTCTTCCTACATGAAGCCCATCAATATTTGTTCACTTAACTTTATCGCTATCACACAGGAGTTAACAAGTCCCTTTGTGATAGCATTTGGAGGTGACATGTTCTCTTTATTGATCCCGTCACCTCCAACACAGGAGTTCTAGCACAGCACTGCTCTCCCCTCTCACTGTTTACACGGAGTGGCAGGGTCGGCTTCACTCACACTACATTTAGTCCTGCTTTCCCAAAGCAGGGCTAAATGTAGAAAACAACTTACCACCTGGGGATTCCACACCGCTGCTGCCCTTCTGCTCCCTGCTGCCCGAGGACAGGCTTCAGTGGCCTTGTGGGGAATCCGGCCCTGTTTGGGCATAAGGTTTTACAGGTGCAGTGTGATTTGGGGATTGTGCCTTACATCTGGGGGTAAATCTTGGTTGCCCTTTAGTACCACTGCTTGTTGATGCCCCAGTGGTCAACATATAGTGATCTTCACTGTATCCTTCAATGATTGAAAGGGAAAATTTGATTTTTGGTTGTTCCGTAAAATCCTTTTCTCTGCGTTCACCATTTTATATTACTGATCTTTGGTGTGTCCTTTAATCAATCAACACAGAGAAAAGGATTATGTGGTGAGTACAACAATCCAATTATTACTGAAATCTGTGGGTCACTTTTAGCAAGAAAAAAGGTAAAATTACCAAAGAAAACTGTTTTTTGTAAACCAAAATGTCCATTTTGTAGAATCCAGTAAAAAGTTTTGTATAGATTATTTTTTTATTTTTTTTTGAAGCATTGCTTTAAAGGACACTGCATCTGGCTTACTCCTGAAATTCTCAGACAAGATGGAAATTGGGGGCCATGGAGTAAATTTGGTTCATGCTCTCGCACTTGTGGAACAGGTGTTAGATACAGAACAAGGAGCTGTGACAACCCTCAGTAAGTATAAATTGTATTTGTATTTACCACATAAAACTTTGTATCTGCAATATATTTTATATGTTAAGAATATATTGCATTTAAATAAGTTCTCAAGTAAACAAAACTGTTTTTGTTTTTTTTAAAGCTGAGTATGGAAGGGTTAGGCCCTCTGTCAGGTTTGTATAGTTGTCTGCATCCTCTTCAGAGAGATTTTCATTCCCTTCCCACCCTAGAGATATAACAGGACGTTTGTGGAAATTTGACTAAAATTATGTGAAATCTCATCTCTAACAAAGGAATAGGTATCCTCATTGATGCATATACCCTCTACTGCTGTTACGGTGATAGTCAAAGAAATATTGGATGTCTTTATTGTCACAACTATTGGCACTATAATAGATGTACCCAAAGTGGGAAAAGACCCTAATATAAATATATGGGGTCTAACCCAGCCTATTTTTTTATATAATCTTTATTTTCACTTTTAGTTGTAATTACAACAGGGTTATCAATAAATAGATGGATCGTTTATAGGTTCAGCGTGTAAATCACAATCAGAAACTCTAGCACCATATTGCCAAGAAACAGCATACCAAATTACCTTTATAAGGCACATCTGCGCCAATTTAAGAACTAAGAAAACAGTAAAGAATGAGAAAATAAAGGGGGCACAAAAATGTTAGAAAAGACAAGAGGGAAAGGAAAGAAAGAAGAAGAAGGATCTAGAAGGGAAGCAAATATATATTCTGTTCCAAATATTGATTAAGCATTTAAGGGAGCAAGTTTTTGTTGACCTTAAAAGCTAACCAAGGTAGACCTTTATTACCAGAGGCATTCACTTATAACATACAGTATATGTATGTATCTAATGCTATGTACAGTAAAATAAATTATAATATATTATAATACACAAGCTAATACTTCTACTGTCTTGCATTTAGCCCAGCTAATGGAGGTCGTTCATGTGTAGGGCCAAGCTATGAGCTAGAGCTTTGCAACACTGAAGATTGTGACAGAGATTTTGAGGATTTTAGAGAAGAACAGTGTAAACAATGGGATCCATTCTTTGAATATCAGAATGCTAAACATCATTGGATTCCATATGAGCATCCCGATGGTAGGCTTGAGATTTATTATTACATATTACACAGCTTTTGTTAAATATGTCACTATTATTGTGTTCTCTCCAGTACATTTTTAAAATGGTCTTGGCCTATTGAAGGATTGCTTAATTCAATGTTGAAAGCCCTGCTTGGATGCTATTTTTAGAATGTTGACAACTGTTATAACTCAAAGCTAGATTATGTACAAATTAACTCTTATTACAATACTTTTACTAAATAAATACATAGAAAAATTGACTTTTTTTCCTTGATATTTTAACCAATATAAAAAAATTCAGTTTTGCTGTACAGTAGGTCCCCTACATACGAATGGGTTTTGTTCCGAGAGCGTGTTCTTAAGTCCAATTTGTTCATAAGTACAACAAAGTTAGCTTAGGTACCAAGCTACATCACTGTTGCTTTTACGCTTGCTTCTGGACATCCTGGGCTTGAAATAAAGATACTGTACTACTGTAATCTATACAGTACTGTACAGTAAAAGTACACAAAAGCACACGCACGTGACAATGTATGCTATGACACATGAACTAACTTTAGTGATTAGAAATGCAGACTCATGTTCGCATCTTTGAAAGTTTGCAACTTGAATGCTTGTATGTAGGGGACTTACTGTGTATATTAAAAAATCTGTAATGACATGCTTATATATTTCTAGGGAAGGGGTAAGGGCTTTGATAAGTGACTAAACATGAACATAACATAAATGTAAAACAATACTAATTTGCAGACCGAGATAAGCAAATCATACACTGATTTATAGCACAGACACATCCAACTATATTTAAAGCAGAACTCCAGCTTGTATTTTTTTTTTTTTTAATTAATTCCCCAACAGCTGTAAAAATAGCTTGTGTTGCAATACCCGCCTTTCCCAGCAATGTCATATGTAGACTCACTGCTCCAGTTGACCAAAAGTGGTCCTCTTTCATGTTGGACAACATAATTCAACCCACTTCCTCTGAACCCAGGCTGTCAATGACAATGAGATGGGTTTTAATGTCTGTTCATACATATGTTAATATATCCAATATAACTGACTGACTCAATTGCTTACTTTGGTCCTAACTTCACAGTGATGTCAAAATAAAATACTTTTTATTGAACAAATTTGCATGGATGTTTAAAGTGACTTTGTCAGAATATTAGCTGCTAGCTAGTGTCAAGAGCAGGCATACCTTCAGCAGCCTGCAAGTAATTGGCAATTGAGTTTGCATTGTCTCCCTGTGCCTTCGCGGGTTTGAATTTTTAGGTGGCCAAGCAACAAAGTTGCAAGGACACCTATTGTTATTGGTAAGATTATTATTATTATTTTTATTAAGTGGCCAAGCAACACAGTTGCATGGACACCTATTGTTATTGTGCTGATTATTATTAGGTGGCCAAGCAACAAAGTTGCAAGGACGCCTATTGTTATTGGTAAGATTATTAATATTTTTTTTAATTATTATTATTATTATTATTATTCCACCGCTTTTTTCAAATGTCTGTAACAAGTGCTCTAAGTCAAAAACTCATGAAACTTTGCACAATGGCCCTGTGCTCTGCAGAGCTTATTATAATATAAAGGTCATAGGTCACATTTTGTGGCAGCCATCTTGGTTTTTGTGACGATTTTTGTGAACTATTCAGAAACCTGCATCTCCAGATGCGCTAAAGCTAAATATGTACAACTTGCTCTGTGAGCTTATGCTTTCCTCTGTTGCCACATGGTGTTCATTATAGCTCTATTGGTGACATGGTTTGGCAGCCATTTTGATTTGTGCAATATTCTGTCAACAACTTAAACTCTGAAACCATATATCAGAATAACTCAAAACTTTGCACATATGTCCAGGGCTATCTCTTCTACCACGGTTGTAGAAATAGGCTTGATCCCACAATCAAAATGGCCGCTGCAAGCCAATGGTGTTTAGATAGTGTTATGGCCTTTTTTTCAAAAGCCTGTTATTAGCGCACTGTTACTCACAAACTGATGCAACTTGGCCCAATGGTAGAGCTTTATGCTATGGCCAAACGTTTGCAACATAAAGGTCATAGGTCACATTGCCTGGCAGCCATCTTGTTTTAGGTGATTATATTCAGCTCCATATTCAAACATCCCTTTCTCAGAAACTGATACAGCTACAGATCTACAAATTGCTGTGTATAGTCACGGCATGATCTGCATTCACAACTGAACATTACAAGTCAAATGGCCACATGGTTCGGCGGCCATATTGAATTGTGTCAAATTCGACAAATATTTATATTATTTTGATGCTCTTTATTTCAAAGGCTAATTATTGGCACACTATCATGTAAAAACTCATGAAATTTGGAACAATGGTAGAGGGCTGTGCTGTGTTTAAACCTTGGAAACATATAGGTTATAAGTCGCATGCTCTGGCGGCCATCTTGATTTAAGCAAACCTATTTCTGACGATTTTCAAACATCTGTTTTTTCATAACCGCTAAGGCTACAAATATACAAATTAATATGTGAGATTATGCTGAGCTCTACAATCATATATGTTTATTGCAAGACATGTGACCACATGGTTTGGCAGCCATTTTGGATGGTGCAATATTCTGATAACTCAACATCATAACTGCCAAATACAATATGGCTTCCAGAGGTCACCAAGGTCGGCAGCCATTTTGAATGGTTTTTGATTTTTTTTATAATTCATAAAATCATGTCTTTTTAAAAAATCTTTTAAACTACAATATCTTTTCATGCGCTATGACCGGCTCTACTGCTTGGCCACCTTTATTGCTGCTTGCAGCTATATTTTATTATTATATTTTATTATTATTATTTTATTATTATTCCGCCACTTTTTCAAATGCCTGTAACAAGTGCTCTGTTAGTCAAAAACTCATGAAACTTTGCACAATGGTAGAGACCTGTGCTCTGTAGAACTTATTGCAATATAAAGGTCATAGATCACATGATGTGGCAGCCATCTTGGTTTTTGCGACAGTTTTTGCAAATATTCAGAAACCTGCTTATCCAGAACCGCTAAAGCTACAGGTGTACAAATTGCTCTGTGAGCTTATGCTTTGCTCTGTTGCCACATGGTATTCATTAAAGCTCTATTGGTCACATGGTTTGGCAGCCATTTTGGATTGTGCAATATTCTGCAAACAATTTAAACTCTTAAACCATTCATCAGAATAACTCAAAACTTTGCACATATGTCCACGGCTACCTCTTCTACCACGGTTGTAAAACCAGGCCCGATCCCCAAATCAATATGGCCGCCACAAGCCAATCACTTTTTGACATTGCATCCAATTGCATAAACGTGTATTCATATCACTATTGAAGTATGTTAAACTTGTTATACATATGATAACTCAAAATCATAACTGCCAAATACAATATGGCTTCCAGAGGTCACCAAGGTCGGTGGCCATTTTGAATGTGATTTTTTTTTTATAATTCATAAAATCATGTCCTTTTTTTTATCTCTCTAACAACAATATCTTCTCATGTGCTATGACCTGCTCTACTGCTTGGCCACCTTTATTGCTGCTTGCAGCTATATTTATTATTATTAATTTAATATTTTTTTATTATTCCACCCCTTTTTTCAAATGCCTGTAACAAGTGCTCTGTTAGTCAAAAACTCGTTAAACTTTGCACAGTGGTAAAGCCCTGTGCTCTGCAGAATAACTCAAAGCTTTTCACATATGTCCAGGGCGACCTCTTCTCCCACGGTTGTAAAACCAGTCCCGATCCCAAAATCGCTATGGCCACCACATGCAAATTATTTTTAACAGTGCAGCAAATTGCATAAACGTGCATTTCTAATCACTATTGAAGTATGTTAAAGTTGTTATGCATATGATAACTCAACATCATAACTGCAAAATACAATCTGACTTCCAGAGGTCATCAAGGTCGGCGTCCATTTTGAATTTAATTTTTTTTTTAAATTCATGAAATCATGTTTTGCTTTTTCTCTCTCTAGCTAAAATTTCTTCTCATGTGCTATGACCGGCTCTTTTGCTAGGCCACCTTTTTTGCTGCTTGCAGCTATATTTTTTCTTTACATACGTGATGTAAGTGGACACCTTTTGTTTTAAAGTGAAAACTAAACTCAGGAGTTAAATCTTAACAATGCATTCAAGTACCATATCTATTAAGAAAAGAAGAAAATGTATCCTATTTGTGTATCACTGAGCTGTAGATCTTCAAAACATCTCTGAATTGGTGCGGACACTGTCCTTACTTCTGTGTGTGCTATAAAGTAGCCACCACTATAAGCTCGCTCCTGCGTTAGACTACAATCTAATTACAAATTAGTAAACCAAATGTGAGACTGTAGTGATAATACAAATACACAAATAAGCTACATTTTTGTTAATAGTTATGGTACTTGAATGCATTTTTAAGATTTAACTCCTGAGTTTAGTGTCACTTTAAGGGCAATGGTAAAGTTGACAGTTATTTTAATTCAGGACTCTTGATTTATTTTGATCCACCTCATTATAAACTGTTCTGGGGAGTTCTGATATTTAGCAGGAGATCGAACTGCCAAAAGTTGGTTATAAAATTGTTGACATTTCTGAAATGATAGCACAGAAATGTCCTATGTCTGTCTTTGTTTTTCAGAAAAGGAAAGATGTCATCTTTACTGCCAGTCTAAAGAATGTGGAGATGTTGTATACATGAAGCGACTAACACATGATGGAACACAATGCTCATACAAAGATTCTCACAATATTTGTGTTCGAGGTGAATGCCTGGTGAGCATTATGAACTTATCAGTTTTGGAATTAGTTTGGGGATATGTGATGTAATAAGACTTGAATACCTTTTTGGTTTATGAAGACTTTACTGTGCTATGCACTGATATAGTTGGAAGGATTTTTGATTCCCATAGTGCCTTCTCATTATAACCTGTATGAATATACTGTGTAGTTAAAGAGGACATTTACACTCAAAAATCAGATTCTACCAATGCATCCCTCTATGTATGATGATTTAATAATAACATAGACCTGTCAGGTGTAAAATGCTGTAATTTTTCAAATACTTACACTTGCAGAGCATTCACATCCTGCTTTGAAAGTGCAAATGACTTCAGTTTGCCAACGCAATGCACACAATCCAAGCCTTGTCACCAGCAGAACATTGCTGGGACATCTCATCTCAGTGAAAGGTGTTTGCTTTAAGGAATTCAGGAAGACATTTGGGAATGTTTTCAATTAAACTCAAAATAGTTATTTAAAGTAAATCAATACAGTCTTCAAGCTGAACTCAATGTAGTGTTGTAGAAGAACCCAGACCATGTCTAATAAATGGCACTTTAACAACAAAGGGGAAAGTGCATTATTTTTAAAAGGTGTTTATTTATAAAACAGATTTTTAACCTCTTGTCGTCCGCCCGAAAAAACGGACGGACGGCAGACTGGCATCAGCGGGCTGTCGTCTCCAGTCGGCATTTTTCTCCTGCTCGCTAGTTTTTACAGCCGTTAACGGCCGTTTCACATACAACTGATCAGTGGCTCTATAGCTGCCGATCGGTTGTATGGCGCAATTTTGTCGACCCCCCCTTGAGTGATGCCGCTCCCCCCTCCTGACCCCTCACCTTCAATCCCGGGATCCGCTACCCCATCTGCGGCCCGGGACCGGCTCGGAAGGGCGCTCAGCATCTTCCTCCTTTGCAGTGAGAGCAATAATTTTAGGGCCATCAATCACTGATAACACTAAACTGATGAGCGGTAACAGCTTTTAAAGCGTCGCCTATGGCCAATTTTGGGTAATGTAGTTTTTTGCCCCGTCTTTTATATTTTACCAAAAAATTGGGTAATAATAAAATGTTTTAGAATTTAATATAGGGGAAACAGTTTTTTTTTTACATTTTCTGTAAATTTTCCTTAATATAGCAAAAAATAAAAACCCCAGTGGTGATTAAATACCACCAAAAGAAAGCTCTATCTGTCCCCAAAAAAGGGTATAAAATTCATTTCAGTACAGCGTTGCATGACGGAATAAATGCCAGTCAAAGTACCGCAGCGCTGAATACTAAAAAATGGCCTGGATGGGAAGGGGGTTTAACACCCCGGACTTCAAGTGGTTAAACAATAGTAAAAAAACAAATTACAAAATGGGAGCAGTCCCAACAAAAGGCAACATTCAGGTTGCAATATACACAAAAACAAACAAACTGAACAACCACAACACTAACGAGACACCACACAAAGCTCACACAAACACACACTATCATCCTCATCCCCTTGCAAATAAACCATCAATGGACCCATAGCCACATCAAGAGCCACGGACCCCATATTTTGTTGAATTTCTTCAGGCAAGGTCTAGCTTCATAGATCAATGTATATTTGGGAATCACATCCTCCATTAGTTTTACAAAGGCATGAGGCGAAGGAGGACAGGGTTGCTTCCAATGCAGTAATATGGCCTTGTGGGCATAAAAACATAGGAGTTGAAGAAGGGAACACATTGCAGAACATTCCATAAAAGGATCCACAATACCCAATAATAGGACAGATAGGATAAAGGGAAACTTAATATCTAGCTTAGTTTGAAGCACATCGTAAAACCAGGGCCCAGTACTCTTGAACAAACCCACAAAATATGGAACACCCAAAAAATATGGAACAAATCCGCCGGGTCAAACGCAAAGTGTGCACAACAAGCAGTACCACAAATGCCCATATGCCCAAGCCTAGAGGAAGTATAATATAGACCATGAATTAACTTGAATTTTATAAACTTAACAGCAGTACTAATAACATCCTTAAACCACATGCGAGAGAGTTCACCCCAGCAATCAGTATCCAAAGAAGGTATTAGGAGTTTGCATTTGTTTCCAGCAGCAGAAAAGGTGAGGGAAGGAATGTTTGTAATAAAGAGTAGATAGTGGTAACAGCCTTTGTTAATGATAAATATCAAAGAAGAAGTTCCAAGGAAGTAGCGTGTAGGTTGATTGGATGGAGCCAAACTGTGTGCGAATAGTATCGGGAAAGTCGTAGTTAGTTATAAAGTTACATAGTATTTGAGGTTGAATAAAGACACAAGTCCAACCTATTGCGTGTATGCATATGGTTCTGCTGGTGTGTGCATGTGTATGAGTCCATGTGTGATCTTATTCTTAGAAGTACCTGTACCCCTTTATGTTATGGTCTCTAAGGAAATCATCAAAGAGCTTCTTGAATGATTCCACATTCTTAGCTGAAATCACTGCATGTGGCAGCAAGTTCCAGACCCTAACCGCTCTAACTGAGAAGAACCCCCTTCGCCCATTGTGCTGAAATTTTTTCTCCACCAACTTTAGATGGTGGCCTCTAGTCTTTGTTATGGGGTTAACCGTAAAGAGTTTTTTGCTGATGTTGCTATAACCATTGAACATCTTGAACATGAAAATCATGTCCCCCCTTAATCTCCTTACTTCCAACGAGAAGATGTTTAAATTTAGTAGCCTTGTCTCATAGCCCTGGTCCTCCATCCCCTTAATGAGTTTGGTTGCCCTCCGCTGGACTCTTTCCAGCTCAAGGACATCCTACCGGTGGACTGGTGACCAAAACTGGACCACATACTCCAGATTAGGCCGAACCAGTGATCTGTAAAGGGGCAAAATTATAGACTTGTCTTTGCAATACATCCCCTTCTTAATACAGGACAGGACTCTACTTGCTTTGTTTACAGCAGCCTGGCACTGGAAGCTACTATTCAATCTGTGGTCTACAATGACCCCCAAATCTTTCTCCATTTCTGACTTCCCTAGTGGCATACCCATTATTGTATAGCCCACTTGCCTATTTTTAACTCCAAAGTGCATTACTTTGCATTTATCGACATTAAACCTCATCTGCCATACAGTTGCCCACTCCCCCATTTTATCCAGGTCCTCCTGTAATGTTATAATATCTAAGTCCATGTCTATTACCCTCCCAATTTTGGTATTATTAGCAAACACTGAGACATGGCTATTCATTCCCTCCCCAATATCGTTAATAAACAGGTTGAATAGCATGGGGCCCAGCACAGAACCCTGGGGCACACCGCTCATGACCCTAGACCAGTCTGAAAAGGTTCCATTTATAGATACTCTCTGTACACGTTCCTGTAGCCAGTTTTCTATCCACGTACACACTATTCCATCTATGCCCATAGACCTCAGCTTGTGTAGCAAGCGTTTATGTGGTACCGTGTCAAATGCTTTTGAAAAGTCCAGATACACTACGTCCACCGGCCTCCCTCCATCCAGATATCTACTTACCCCTTCGTAAAAAGTTAGCAGGTTGGTCTGGCAGGAACGATCCTTCCTAAATCCATGCTGGTTATCATTTATTATGCCATTATCCTGAACAAACTCCACTAAGTAGTCCTTAATAGTGATGTGCCGAACACCCCCTTCGTATATGCAAGTTATTGGCCATAAAAGGTGTATAGGAGTCCGGGTACTGCCCTGGGGGACAGGAATCAATTATAAAAAAAAAAGTTTTTAAAGGAACAGGGATTTTTACAGTCAGTGCACCCAAATATTGGGCCTTTGGTGCCAGCTAGTGCCTTCACACCGTAGCCCTTCAGAGGCATTCTGGAAGAGTGCAGGGTTGGACCCTGCGGTCAAATATTGAAATTATATGCACCTATCACATGCAAGTGCGGAACAATTGTGTCTTAGTCGGTGGTGCACGACACCGAGAATCTAAGTTGAAGAATGCATAATAATCTCCCACCAGCGTAGGCAGCCTAGGAAGTTTTCCGAATGCAGAGATCCCCCGATCTATTCAGTAACATCAGCATCAGGGGAGTGATAGCTGCTGCTGATCCAGGACTGATTAATTTTTATAAATGTCAGCCGGTCTACGGACTCTGTGGACAGATGCACTCCTTTGTCTGTGACAAAACCTCCAGCAGCACTGAACGTCCTTTCAGAAAGCACGCTGGATGAAGGGCAGCCTAGTAGCTCCATGGCATATTGGCTAAGTTCTGGCCAGTGATCCAATCTCAACACCCTGTAAGCCAGTGGATAATCCGCTGGAAAGCTATCCAGATCTGCCCTTGCCCCTAGGTAGTCCTGCACCACATGGTGAAGACGCTGGTGATGGGTGCCTAAATTTTACATCCCTGGGCATCGTGGACTAAAAAAATTGCGGAAGGCATCAGTCAAGCGGCCCCCTTCTCCACTGCTCTTCCTCTGACCAACCACAGCCTCAGAAGCATCCCTGTCATCATTTGGTAACCTACCAGTGCCTGGAAAGGTGTTACACAAGTTTCGCTATAGAGCGTCCTCCAGTTGTTTCATCCTGTGTTCCCTCTGTGAGGCCAGGATGAGCTATGCAACCTTACCCTTGTATCGTGGAACAAGAAGGGTTGCCAACCAGTAATGATCTCTCTCCTTGATACCACAAATCCTGGGGTCCTTTAGCAGTCTTTGCAGGATAAGGGAGCCCATGCAGCGTAAGTTGGAGGAGGCATTAGCTTCTGAGTCTTCCTGGAATGCTGTCTGCGTAAAGAGGGCCTTGGGAGCTAAGGACATCCTCTTCTTCCTCCTGCTGCTCTGCCTCTAGTGCCACATCAATAATTCCCAACAGAGTGTGCTCCAGCAGGAACACCAACAGGATTGTGTCACTGATGCATGCACTGTCCCTGCTCACCATCCTTGTCGCCTCCTTAAATGGTGACAGGACAGTGCATGCATCCTTAATCAGCAGCCACTGACGGGGGGAAAAAAACAAGGTCCTCTGAACATGTCCTCAATGAATACTCACACAAG